CACGGCGAGCGGTCGCCCCTCTAACACGGCCGACTCTCCTATCGTTTCGGCTTTTTCCTCTACGTAACGCGTTACGTACCACGGTACGAAGGAAGGGCGCGAGTCATCCTGGACGCTTCCACCTCGTCCTCGTCCTCGTGCTCGTATCCGTACTCGTTTTCGTCTTCATCTTCGTCCTTACCTTCGTCTTTGCCCGCGTCCACTCTTCGTCCGTGTCCTCGCGACGCTCCACGAATCTCGTTCCCCGCGCGGTTTCCATCGGGCGCGCGCCATTTCTCCGCAATTATTTCGATATTTCAATTTTCAAGGGCATACCCTGCTGCCTTCGTGATACTTACCCTACCCCTCCCACTTCTTCTGCCCTCCAATTCTAACCCACCTAATTGCATCGACGAGATAATAAGATTTGAATTTCGAATCGAGGCCACGGTAGCGGTAACGTCCGCTTCTCATTAAACAGCCGCGCTCTCCTCTCTTTCTCTCTCTCTCTCTCTCTTTCTCTCTTTCGCCTTCTCTCTTCTTCTTCCTCTTCTTTTTCCTAGCTCCACATCCGACATCCACGTGCGTCTCTCGGCCAAACGAAACGTTTCTTTTCTCCTTTCTCCTCGCTTTCTTTCCCTTTTGTCTCTCGTTCGTCGGGTCGACCGCAACGTCGCTGGATTCTCCGAGAACATCGTTGGGATTCGACGCTACGACGCTTCCCCGTGAACATTGGCGCACCCGCACGCAAACTTGGATCAATCGGATCGTCAAAAGCAGCCTACCAGGATTTAAGATCGATAAGAGTACGCTGTCGCTCGCGATCACGAAAGGACAATATCGCCATCTCTACAGCTATCGCAAGTTACTAACTGGCACGAAGACTACGGAGGATAGTGATCTTGTATTTGCAAGACGAACGCTCCGACGAATACGTAAATATCAGGATAGAGTTTCAAACGTGAAATTAGTGTACTTCTGGATGATTTCGCAAACCGAGCAAGGATCCCAATTACTCTTACACGTTACAACCTTGAGGATAAAAAACTGTGAAAATCGTTGGAGAAACGATTGCTGGAATTTGAAGGATTCACGATCGAAACGAGATTAGTTTCTGAAAAGTGTCGCCGATATTGTGTTAAAGAAGTGAAACTCTGGAATATGTGTGAACGGAAATAACTGTTTCTAAAATTACCAAAATTACCAAGATTACCAAGTTACCTTTTTCGTCCACCAGAGACTACGCGTACTTTAAAGTCTTAGAGAACGTACCTCTGAATTCTTGCTCGCAAGTAAACATCGCGATCGTTGCTTCGAGTCACCAACGAATCGACGCGTTGTCACGTAAATATGTGATTTCGCGAATCCAATCGAACGCTCGAAACGTCATAAACACATGCTAGTACACGTTTGAAAATTCCCATTCGAACATCGCTCAGAGACGTAACGATAGACCTCTGAACGAAAAGCAACGACGAACGATCGCTCCGGAAAGGATCGAGTAAAGTCTAAAAGACGGATCTCTCAGCGGGTCCAAGCGAGAAGCTTCGAAGCACGTAATCAACTCGAAAGCCGCAAAGACAAACCTTCCTCGTCGGATATATCCAAGAACGTAAAATTTATACGCGGCAGGTCTGTCGTGAGAATTTCCTAATTCCCTTAGCGCAGGATTCGTCACCGCAAAGAATCGGAGGATCTGGTATCCGAAATCATGACCAATCTGCGTTAAGAGACTTAGAAAGCGAGACACGTCTTCGAAGGAGTCGACGAGTAAGATACGCGCACGACGAGCCTGTGCTAGGACATTTAGATAACAGGATCGACCCCTGGAAGGGATCGAGGAATTGGACAAATTTCGGATTTCGTGGAAACAGAGAAGAGAAGAGTGCGAAAGATCGGAAAAAATCGATCGTGGTTCCGCCTCTAGAAGGGGAACGACAGAGAATGTCTTGGTAGGTTGTGAAAGAACAACAGGAGCACTTGGTACGAGAGACCTCAACAAGGTCAACCCGGCATCACCCTGGCTAACGACCTGTCTGGAGGTACCGGGGGTCCCGGTGCAGGCGGCGTCGGTTCCGTCGGGGGCACCTCCGTCG